TATATATATATATTAGAAAAGTGTTAGTGTACTGACAATATGTCTTTATATTCTTGCCGATAGTATTCTTTTTTGCTCGATAGTTGTAACAATTTTGCAATTTACACGTCTGAGGAGAGCACCATTTGAATATAAATTTGTACCAGATCGTGCCTGTTCTACACGGACCAAGTATTTTTTGCGAATATATTTCAAGAAACTTTAATTGAACATTTTTAGCCACATAACCGCTTGATCCGAGCCGCAGATTATCCCGTTGGAAAGCAACAATTATGCACGCTTCTACTATACCTAATCAATGCAACGATTATTAATTTCAGATAATACATTCCTATCATTAACAATTGGTTAAAGTTGTACATACTGTATATTTGAATGATACAAATGTTCTTAAATTTATCCCAGAGTTCTCGTTGAGCTTTACTGAAATTCATGGTTGAATCATCGATTATCAACTGTTTTATGGAAGAGACATCATACTTATGGATATCGGTATAAAACACATTTTTGATGCACATTTTGCTTTCAAGAAATATCCACGAAACCTGAAACATATGTAAATATCTTATATTTCATTAATTTTTGACGTAAGACTTGATTCTTTTTATGTTACCTTATATTTCTCTATCGTTTCGTACATGTTTTTATCGCTGAATTTTGGACACTTGATCACTGTCACATACGAAATAATACAACGAACAGTCAAGATCACACCATAGCTCCAATTTAAAGATGCATACCATAGACCAATGTCACCGGAAAACATTACGGGTACCTCCTGGTTCGACGGATACGTAAGTGCAAAACAACGAATAAATATTTTACTATTAGGATAACTTGTTGCACTGGGAGAAAACATTATCGCTACAATATCCAGGGGTTCCATCTTCATGCAGGAAAATTCATCGATCTTGGTCTTTTCAAAATCATTGTTCAGAATTGATTCAAGAGAATCGACACCTTCAATTCTATCGAAAGTTATGATTTTTGGAGGGTCTATATTTATCTTTGCGTTTATAATTTTAATAGCCAATTTGAGTTCCTTGTAATTATCACTATCGATAAAGATAATATCTGGTTCATATTCCAACAGAAAGTACATAATACGTATCCTATCTAAAAAGGTTTATTATTCACTAAGAGTAACAGGTATACAGATATATATATAAACGTTAAAATAAGTAATACTGAATTTTAGAAAAATATCAATGTACCTTCCATGTACTTTTTGTCCCACGAATTAATAATAGCTCCGATATATAAACTCGCTAGAAATGGTATATATTCCAGCATTTTATGACGTGTGCATATTGCTATTATGTTTTTTTTACAGCGTAATTGTTGGAACCATAATGCACATTTAACGCTGTTCTCCCGCATCTGCTGATACGTAGTTTGCTCTTCCGTCATTGCATCTATCTACAATACGTACCAGTCGCATAATGTTAAAGATATTAATATATTGATATTAATATGTCTTGTCAACAAGATATTAATCCTTTTACTGTTTATGAAAATAGATAACGTAACGAATAAGCTTTATTATTACCTGACCGACAAAATTCGGCTTAGATTCGAATGCCTTCAAAATCATATTTCCAATATTTATATTATGAAGTAAATCTTCTGTTCCGGACAATATATCAATTTTTTTGTCAGACTCCTAAAAGATGCACAATAATGTTGTTAATAAAACTTATATTTTTATTAATACCTACGGTGGATTTTATTATGTACGTATCTGTTACCTTAGATGCCATACCGCTATTAATTCTTTAAATTAATGTTAATACTAATAGCACTTTTTATCACACGAATGTTGAATAGCTCTTCTTGTGTCGAAATGAAGACTAAGTTTAAATTTCTACTAATATTTATTTCTATATGTTTGCGATATATAACGTTATAGTTAAAAGTTAAACGAATTTGTTTTGTTTGGAGATGTCCCTTTAACCAAGCCGCTTGTAGTTGATGTTACGTGACAATATTTTTATTGCTATTTTGAAATTTAATTTTACTTTCCGTATATTTAGTAATCCGATTTATTTTCTAAATTGTTCAAACTGGGCTTATGCTATTTATTCAATACGTCTTGCAACTTGTAGTTTAGAAAATTTTATCTCGCGATAAATACGAAATCTTAACTTTATGAAGTTGCATAATGGTATTTCAATATTAAACACTAAACTTAATACAATATATGCTTTTTATCATCTTTATATACATGTTATTTCCCATAACTACAACAATAAGAACGCAAGTAAAATTTAATGATTTTTCTCATTGACTGAAATTCATACCTCAATTTAACATGAAAATGATTTTAACTATATTGTAAATAAAAATATTGTCTCTCTATCTCATTCGAAATTAAGAAAATCAAAGATGTACACAGAATTATTCATTTAAAAAAATGTTCCTGATCTATTAATTTTTTATTGATCGTTAAGATTATCTCAGTTTTTGCACTTTCAAAATTTTGACTCCATTAAAAGTGGAAAGTATTTTGTATGTATCGCAAAAAAACTATATATCTATTTATATTATTTAATTTAACAATCATGATTTATTATCCTATCAAATATTTTTCACTTTACTGATAAAAGCTTGAATTATTAATTATTGTCACATTAGTCTCGTAAATTTCAATATATTAATTAAATAAGAATGATAATACGTTTATATATGTAATCAAACACTAAGTATAAGCGTATTCAGGCCTATGACGGTCAAAGCTAGATTTTTTTGCCTAAATAATTCCTAGTGAATTATCTATATCCTATATACATGCATATTTTTGTAGTTATTCAATATATATAATCAATTAGCTGCTGTTTTGTACCTTCTGATAAGTTTTACGTAAATAAGGAAATATGGGATAAAAAATCGGAATTTTTACGAAAAGATTAAATTGCGCGTTTTAATAATTATATATATAAATTTTGTAATCTCTCATGAAGATTATATTTTCCTTGGATAAAAGATACTCTAATATTATTTTATTTTAATCAGTTTATTAATGGTCATTTTATTTAACTTTGAAGTTTGTTTTTTGCAATCAAAATTTTTTCCAGAAAATTGGTAATCATTTTATAATGCTCATTTGTCAGTTTTCAAGAATAAATTATTTAATGGAAAGTATTTTCAAATTTTCTCACGAAAAAGCTATTTCAATTTTATTTCATAATCGTATCCAGGAAAACATTCTTTACGACTTTTTTGTTGACGGATTTATGAAATTAGTATTATAAAATTCGAAGATCACGAAGAGATTTCAGGCAGTGTATTTTAAACAAAAATTAATAGACCATACGACTTTATTATTTATTATATTAATGTAATTACTTTATATTAATTATATCTACATTAAGACTGAGCAATTTCCTGGCTCTATGGAAAGTAACACAAATAGTCTCAAGAAAGAACTTACATTATACAGACCCATTAGCCTATTATCTATTTTGTCTAATGTCTTACAAAGTTATTATTAAAAAGAATCAAATGAGTCCTGGAAAACAAAAATCTTATTTCAGAACACGATTTGGATTTCGTGAGCAGCATGCAACAATCGAACAAATGCGTAGAGTTGTAGCAAATAATGCTTTAGAGGAAAAAAGTACACTGTTCAGCACTATTTTTAAACATTTCGCTGGCTTTTGATATACTTTTGGAAATCCTTATTGCTTTTCAAATTATACAAAACAGTTTAATAATTATGTTTGCATTAAAATTTTTTTATTAATGTATTTTTTACACAAAACAGAAATATTTATTATTTAACATTAAATACATAAGTATCACGAAACAGTACAAAATAATATCATTGACATTCCGTATTATCGTAAAATATCACGTACAAGTATGCTTATTGGAGATTTTCATTATTTCTATACTAAGGTAAATGCACTAGTTACTGGACAGTTAATGGACATGACTTAATTTGTTGGACAAAGTGTGTGGTACAAAATTTTAAATATTAAAGAATTGGAAAGAGTAAGGGCACTAGGAGTCGGGCGCAGAAGACGTCGCGCAAGTAATACACTTATAAAGAGTGAAACTTCTTTATTCACTGAACGCGCTTACATGTTTCGACTCATTTTTTAGCCTTCCTCAGAGCAAACACACACTAACATATATAAAGTAAAAGTTATCCTGTCATGGTGAGCTCCCCTACATCGAGAATTTTAATGTCAGAATTAAACAAAAAGAAAGAAATGAAAATGAAAAAGAAGGGAAATATTAAAAATATCAAATTAAATAATATAGAAACTAATTTATCAAAAAACTTTAATAATATAATTAATTATCCCGAAAATAGGGATAATTAATTCCTGGCTCTATGAAAAGTAACACAAATAGTCTCAAAAAAGAACTTACATTATACAGACCCATTAGCCTATTATCTATTTTGTCTAATGTCTTACAAAGTTATTATTAAAAAGAATCAAACGAGTCCTGGAAAACAAAAATCTTATTTCAGAACACGATTTGGATTTCGTGAGTAGCATGCAACAATCGAATAAATGCGTAGAGTTGTAGCAAATAATGCTTTAGAGGAAAAAACGCTCACCACAATTACAAAGTACCGTATCGCAAACATTATCATGAATAATTCAAGAACCGGTTCCTGATATGTTGGCCAGTCGGTATCAGACACAGTGAGTCCCGTTTTAGTTATTAGCTAGTACTAATGAAAATTTTAAAGTGATAAAAAATCTCGTCAGAAGGACTTATTACTGTGTACGAGCGACACCGACTGACAAGACGTGACAACAACTCGAGCTTTTATAGTTTATCTA